AATGAAAGTAACCTCAATAAATAAAAAAATGGGGCAAAAAAGTACAATCATACAAACCACTCAAATATATGATATTTCTTTTAAGAGAGTTCTTTTTTCTAAAAGTGGGCACTTTTTTTTTACTCGACCTGAAACAAATATTGTAACTTCAAATAGTGCGTCTTATCACTTTCTCTGGCTCATATTCTTCTCTGTTTCATAAACTAAGAATACTTTTCACTCTACAAATTACAAACCTGTTTATTTTTCTTTTATCTCAGTAATAACTATTTTGTACATAATGTAATTAAATAGACATATTCTCCCATAATTATACAACCCGCTTACTATCCTGTAGCTTGAATTGTTATACCAAAAAACATTTTACACTTACAAAAAAAAACACATAAAATACTCATTATTGGATCACAAAATCATAGGAAATCATTACCCGATGTTTTTAAACCCCTCACTGAACAAAGTTAACTCTACAACATTTGATTTGTAATATGTTTTTTTCTTTGTTCGAAGATTTATTAAACTATGAAATTATGTATACATGGCTACGGACACGACTAGTTCTCTGTAATTCATTCATTCGTTTAGTTCTTTACAAATCTCATTCATTATTGAATCTAAAGCTTGTTGTTGTAAGTGACATATATGGTACTATTAAACAGGAAACGGGGCAAAATGAAATATAATGTAATATTACCGACGATATGATAAATTGCTAACACTATCGACACTAAAATCTTTATGTCTTTGTGAATATCACACGTCAATGCAAAAACCTAATTACTCACATTATGACAAAATATATTTAATGAATATGCGTTGAAATACAAAAGACAGGTAACTTTTGTTCGTAATAGTTATTGAATTTGAAAAAAGTCTGCGTGTGTACACCACGTCACTTTCACTTTTATTGTGTCTCACTGGATGAGGTGGGTTCGTATTATATTACTAGTATATTATGTGTATTTTCCGTAAATTTCTTCTTTAAAGTGCAATCGTCTGAACTAAACAATAGCTTGCTAATAAGAAATGATAATGTTCCAGGAAGGAAGGAAGGAAGTGTTGTACTATGACATGGTCCATATTACAGACATTGTTATTTATGTGTTTTATGTGTCATCTACTCGTAGATTGTCAGCCTGATATCACACCTTAAGTATAACCCACAGTTTAATCCTCATTTCTATCTGATGTATTGTACTGTATCTTTGTCAATTGTTATGATATTTCGTGAAATGGCGTATGGCGTTGGACAGTGGCGTTTGGATCAGTGGGTTACTGATAGGAGATTAACGAGAGATTAGCTCCATATATATGTATAATATTAAGACAAAACACAAATGTATGTTGCCCGGAACTCGAATTTCTGTTAACTGTTAATTTAACATCAAATTATAATTTGGGCGTGGTTTCGCATAGGTGGGCGTGGTTCCCGTATCTAATCAGTTTCTTATCGTCCGGGAACATATGTAGTAATAAAAGGTAAACGTTAGGGCTTCATTCTAACGTTATTTCCACTCGTTATGCGGTGTATCCATGCTTCACTCGTGAAAATATGGCCGCCGATTACACCGCATCACACGTAAAAATACATTCCATACTTCGCAAACGTCAGGACGAGGCCATGGCGTTCTGTATTATTATTAAATTGGAAATTAATATTAAAAAGCCCGTAATGAACATGACTGCGTGTATGCGAGTCACTTTCACTTTCATTGTGTCCCATCAGGTTGATATTATATAACTTTTTTATGTTTTCCGAAATTACCCGAAACAAGATAAAACATCTGAATTAAACAAAAGCTTGCTAAAAAGAAATAATAATATTTCAGAAGGGATGTGTGTACTGTGTCATAGTTCAAGTCATTATTGTTATGTAAATTAACGAACTGACGTTGTAAACATAGATATCATTTGGATAAGTGGGTTTTTAAAGTTTAAATGTTTGATTGTAGGGTCTTCCATTTTTTCACACAAGAATCATATATGTTGATATACTGCCTTAGTATTATTGTTTACCAGAGCAATCATACCAGTGCTATAATTACTTGTGGTAACAATATATTTGGGACAATGATGTAAGTCACAACAAATTAGTTCAAGCACACATAGTTCGGATTTTGTATCTGAGACAGTGGACACACAATGATACAATCTTCGCCTTGTACAATCAAAGAGAAAAGGAGAGGAAAGCTTCGAGCTGGCGTGCTGTTGCTCCAGGACAATGTACCTGTCCATACACATAGGTGGCAGTGGCAGCAGCAACCGAATGTGGCTTTGAACTCTTACCTCACCATTCCTACTCACCTGACCTGGCACCGTCGGACTTCTACCTGTTTCCAAAACTGACGTCCCACTTGCGTGGTCACCGTTTTGACACTGATGATGGCGTCATCCAAGCTGTTGAGGATCAAGGATCAAGATGAAACCTTCTTCCAGCAGGGAATAGGAAAACTAGAACATCGATGAACAAAGTGCATTGAACTTAGAGGAGACTATGTTGAAAAATAGTGTAAGAAAAATCTTCCTTCTGTAACATTTTCTGGGGAAGGCCGAGAACTTATTCATCACTCCTCGTATGTTGGATAAATGCCGGAATTGTATGGTTATTATGACATGTATATGAACAGAAATCCCAGACGTCCAAAATTCATGGTACATTAAGCCAACTGAAATGTAAATTCAAAGAAATCGTATGAATCTGTTCACGGTTAATTATTTAATACGCCAACACAATTATTTTGTTTAAGCTGGCATACAATACATAATCACAAAAATGAAATGTCACTCGATCAACTGACGAAACAGAAATGAATACTCGCGAAACTGAATGACCGGCGAAACGCTTGAACTTCAATTGAGATCGCCAAACTAAATCACGAACACTGAATATGAATTAAAAGGCGCCACCATGTTATAGTTATTAGTAAAACAGACAAAGAACTGAATACAAATGTTATTATTTTTTTATGCCTGGACGTTTTCCAGGATTGTTGACAACGATGCAAGGATATTATGAGAAGATATCCCTCTACTGAAACCCAAGGGTAGAATACATATTAAATACAAGCTGTTGATAGTACGCATATTTATTTGTGTATACCAGCAGTCTATTCTATTTACATTGCGTGACTTGTGTACGTTGTTGTAACATCGAGTTTATTATCGGTCAAACTCGGTTATTTGGTATCCTTTTGAAAGGAAAGGCTAAGGGTTGTATTGGGGATTGGTTCAGCGATCATTGGTTTTGTTAATGTGTATTGACATATGTATATTGGCTATTGACACATAGTCTTGTGGGAAAGAACGGCGCCACCAGCGACGCTGTTTTGCTCTAAAAACAAAGAAAACACAGTGAAGTGAGTGGAAAATATACCCAGTCCAATGGTCAATAGACCACTTTCCCGGAAGTAGCAAAACTGGGGTGCGAAAATACTCCTGCTTTGTCAAATGTTCGATAGAAGGGAATTTCAAGTTATTTCTGTGACGACGATTGGTACACCCAGAAGAACAATATCACGCGTGCAAACCCCAAAACGGCATGCGCGCGCATGCGAAACGCCGTATCTTCGTCTTCCAGGAAAGTGGTCAATGTAAGTGAACAGTGAAAGTTGTGAAATGATTAATCATGATTCGAATGGCCTAGGAGCTAGTCACCTAGCAATGACGTGTTGTCACGTGGAAATAATTTCAGTTTGCCAAATGTATATTACCATATGCAAATAATATTTCCGAGGGTAGGGTCAGACAATAGAGGACAATTTAGATTGCTTAGAATCACACCAAGGTATCACTGTACGTATAATTATTCATAGAGGGGGTAATTCATAAACGCAGTGCATTTCTAATAGCTTAGATATTGGAATGACGACCACTTCGTGCATGATTTCTAACATTTTGTCAATAGCTTATTTCATTTCCCATTACCTACGTAATATATTGACATGCATACTCATCATTTTACGTAGTATATACTATATCACGGGCACTTTCTTAGCCTGATTATTTGTGTACCGTCCATCATTATAGAACGCCATACTTATTCATCAGTAAACAAAGCAGTCAAACACGACCCGTGCCCATTATGAAACATAATTTATAGACTCCTTGGCTACCTCGCACACCCGTTGGTAAGTTTCTACTATTTAAAGGACAGTGGTTTTACTCCTGAATGAGTGATACTGTGCACCTACGATAACTTAAAGTTTTCTTGGTACAGTGTGAACGAATTTAATGAAAAATAGTATATCTCAAGTAGTGAATAAGCTCGCCCGCGACGTCAGGATCGCGTTCACTGTGAAAAAATACATAACAATATGCCAATTGCACGTGACACACTTTTTGTTTTCACTAAACAAAGCCTACAATACATTAATATATGAATCTTAGTACACAAATAAAAGAAACTCGACTCGAAATAAATAAATAAATAAATAAATAAATAAATCAACAAATAAATCAACAAATCAACAATAAATAAATAAATAAATAAATAAATAAATAAATAAATAAATAAATAAATAAATAAATAAATAAATAAATAAATAAATAAATAAATAAATAAATAAATAAATAAATAAATAAATAAACCTCCAAGAAAGTATATTTCGTGAAACTATTCTCTGCAATTGGTGTCTTTTACTATATCTTATGGCACATGTTTGACTTATTTCTCCAAAGAATGTTATTTGTTATAAGTCTTTGATATGATGATCGATTATAATCATAATTTAAGTCGTATAGCTCGCCATGTCAAACTCACAGAGCTTAGTAGGGTTTAGAAATGCAAAGTCTCGATTGCACCCAGGAAGTCTCTGGATATGATTGTGTTTCGAAAAGCAGTGCGAGTGTTGAGATAAAAGCATATGTGACTGACGTAGTATGTCGGTGAAGATATCTAGTCTACTGCAAAGACTAAGTACATCCGTGTCACGCAAAGATTTCTTTGTGAATATCCGAGAAATTATTAATTATTCATTCAGTATTATAAAATGTGTTGTCTTTCACGAAACCAATTCTTCGTCTGAATCTATGGCTTTTGGCACATTAGTCCCGTCTAATTGGCTTTTCAATCGTCGACGTCTTTCGTTTCGCACCTTATCTTCCATGACATCAGCAAAGTCTCTGAAATAATGGTGAATTTACGTTAATACAGACCCAAATATTCATGTTTCCCGAATATTCAATGGAAAAGCGAGAATGCATTTGATATTTATTTCGGACCTGCGTCAGAGTTCTCGCAGACAAATTATGTGCACAGCGCCACCGCCGACTTACTTGAAAATTATGAAACCTCTCTTTTTTCTATCAAATCGGCGATACAGCCTACTACGTTCCGCGGCTGAGAACGGCAGATGGGTTGCCTGGAAAAATATGAAATTAGTGACATTGAGAAGGTGCTATGGCGAATGAATGCATCGACTTAAATCGACGGGGTCCTCGACTGACCACAATAATGTATGTTGATGTTATTCGTAGCAATGTTAAACGAGACGATATTTAGAATGATTTATACATTCTTAAAATTAACCAAATGATTGCAATCAAATCTTTGAAGAAAATCAATTATATCTGTTATTGATTTCGACAAAGCAGTTCATATACAGGTTCCATAATCCATGTTATACCACCACATACTCATACTGCACCGTGATTGGTTAAAACAGCGTCAGGTGATCAATAAGTATTGTATTTCTCACACAGATACAGGGTACTAGTAGTTCGTCAAAATCTGCACAAGTTATTACATAGCCGTTCAACGACCATCTTCCCCTTTCTCATCACCGTGATAAGCCCAACGCCTTCTAATCAACCCTCTGAGCACAATATTTTTTCCCGCCAAAATGTTGTAGTTTTTACTAATTTTACTAAAATGTGACAAAGAGTGAAACCACAAACATGAACTAAATAACACTATAATCTTTCGAACCATTATTCCGTTCGCGTGATTCAAGTGCATTACGGTATTATGCAGGTTATTTTGTGTACATAATTAATATACATTGCTTCACAGTGCTCTATGAGTGTGGTATAACATAATATTGTATCGCTTTATTCGGGCTCTAGTATACGTCTATAAAATCCGAGCTTTGACGTTCAGATTTACCATTTGAAAAAGAATATTTTGCTCGAAACGTCTGGTTATATTGAATAAGGACCACATGCCGTTTTCATTGACTCACGACTCGTGAAGTACCACGTATCGTTGGCACCTCAAGTCCTGGGAAAAGTACAGACGCTATGGTGTGTTAGTGACCGAATAAACGTGCACGACATGCATACTAAATAAAAAAAAACTTACAAGAATTCCCTTGCGAAATTCTGTTCTTGAGACAATGTGGTCTTTGTTGCCGTCAAATCTGTAGAAAAGGTCGTGACAACGAAGCCCTTCATTAACGATGTAGTCGCGGAGCACCCGTATCGGGTTCACGGGAATGTGCGTGCGCCCTCTTGCGAGAGCAGCGTAAATATCAAAACCTCTGACCACGCATCCATATATGACTGTTAAATCGGCTCGTTCGGTTTGTAGCTCCTCCAATAAGTCCGTAAATTCTCTGGTGACGGGGGCGTCCTGTAAAGATAAGAACCATAGTGATAAGTGCGGATAGATACGATCGGTGAATATACATCATCACGTGATAAAACAAGCGGAAATATCAGAATCCACATCATAGGTAATTTACATACGTTTATATCACCCGTGCGAAACATACCCGGTATTACGCCGTTTGTCTCCGACGGGCCCAGAAGAGATAAGACCCACCATACAGCCCCTTCCACCTGGGGGGGGGGGTACCACGAACAATTTGAATGCCGTTTTTTTGGGGGGGTTAGGGTATAGGAAAAAAGTCGGTGATGGTTTGCTGCTATAAGAAATGTCCTCCACGCACTTGAGTCTGCATTGTATACGTGAGCGTAAGTACACCATGACCTACATTGGGTATACAGTTGGGTATATAATTCGGTATACAGAATTATGTAAAATAATGTAACTTAATTTTGGCTGCAATCGTGTACTAGTATGTGAATTTTACAATACAGCTATTATGGCTAGCTGATGTCGTTAATTCTACATACGGGACATCAACCTTATTTAATATAAATTGGGGTATGCGTGTGGGTCATACCAATTATATAAATTATTATAAATATAAGTATAGATTTTTAGCTTTCAAGGGCTTGGTGGCACACCCTGTCGAGCTAGGAAGCAAGTGTACCGTACTCCTAACAGATTATCTCATTATTATGTATTTTATCGGAGATTACTTGCCCCGAGATCCAGCAAAGTCAGCGAACACTCAGGACGAGTTTCTAACACTGTCAGTAAAGTCATGGACGCTGCGTGAGTTATCATGTTACCTCCAATCTGTGAAAAAAGAACACGTCACCAAGTCAAATATTGGACTGATAAATTAATCCAGTGTAGGTCTAGAATCACACTGTGTTGCTATTAACAGAGAGGGCGGTATAAGTAAGCAGAGAAGTTCGAGTAAGCGTGTCGCAACTCATCTACTCTAATATCACTAGCATACTCACTATTCGTTATTATCCGCTGGTACTCTCATTATTTCACTGGCACTCACTAGTTCCATCTTTGTCAGTCAATTCCCAATTATTTGGACATCACGTCACCCGAGTTGTACAACAAATACACAAAATGCTACGACTCTTTAAAGCGCGGTGGTCGTTCGAATTCCATGTAAATAAACAATGTATTTTACACGTGTTTTGTACGTCGCTATGAGTCCCATATCGAACAGGACGCGGCGCGACGACCACCACCCTTTAATTGATACTCCCATGTAGTTATACTATATTAGCACTATCTAAAATCACGATTAAGTCATCATGTCTTCATTGACAAGCATCTAACATTTGTGTCTACTCACTACTTAACTGGTACTCATTTGTATAATCTCTACACTCACTACGTCACCGATAAAAACTTATATCAGTTATAATAAATAACTATTACTCACCCGAAGTGTCTTCAGTGTCCTATTTTCGTCTAATCCATCTTTGACTATAGTCACACCGAAAATAGTGAATCTATTGAAAGCAACATTAAGTGAGGTCAAAGTAGTATTTGCTTTCAGAACCTCAGATATCAACGCGGCACCCGGATCAGCCAGTCCGTTCCATGAGAGGTCTACATCAGTGAGCACAGAGTTCAACTGTAAAATAATTTCTGTCATTATTGTAAGTCATACAATACGCCCCCGATGGAAAAATAAAAGTGATCCACCGCCAGCACAACAAATTCCACAAAATCTTTCCCCGGACAATAGGAAATGAGAAAATATTACTCTTTTTTACAAATTTTTTGCAATTTTTTACACTTCATGGATTATGTTTTTTTATTTATAGCACCAGAGTAAGTGTTTTGAGGCTTGGACAACACCTGTTTAGCTATGTTTGAGGTATGAATACACCTGTTTGGTCATTTTATGGGCTATTTCCTGAAATAGACCAATTTTGATACTGAAGGCTAAAATTGTGACCCTCTTTCCGACACAGAATAAATGATTCAAAAAGCAACTTCATTTCTAGGCATATACATATACAGATTCCCGTCGCAATAGAAGCAGCATTTTGGGAGTAAATTACATATATTACTTGACCGGACCCAATAGATCGTGATAGACCACAAAATCGTGATCTATTGAAAAAAATATTATGCGAGTTCAAAGTAGTAATTTCATTCAGAATCTGAGATATCAACGCGGAAACCCGGATCAGCCAGTTCGTTCCATGACTTGACCTGATCCATTTAGATCGATGTACCCCAATGCCGAGGCGAAAGGCGAGGACGTACCTTTAGAGCTTTACATATTGATGTTGCCCCTTTTCTTCGAATGTGGTTATAGCTTAGGTTAATCACTTCCAGCCACTTGTTGTATTCTGTAGTATAGTATATTAAAAAAATCACGTCTAGAAAGCATAACTACACTCACAGGGAACATATGCCAAATTATCGAGTACGATAGTTCGGCGGTAGTCGTCGCGTCACGCATGCACGAGATATATGGGTCCTATAAAAACCAAGATGGCGACTTTGACTGTTGCGCAGATCAACGAGTACAAACTGAGACGTTACCAAGCTGTAATTAGGCATTTTAGGTGATTGGAAGGTATCGAATTAGTCACCGGCAGTAATTAGTGCGAGTCGAGCCTCGGTCAAATCTCATACTTGTGATTTCCATTAGAAGAACGCATTGGATTGTGGCAAAATCAATATTTATCAACACAAATGTCGCACATGCGCAGCGCGACGACTGCCGCCCTTTAATGTTATATACGTCACATGCACTCACTTATCGCCAGTGCCAGGTGTTTACCGCCAGGTTCTTCAAAATGATTGTGACTTAGGTCTAGTTTTTTCAATCTAGCAGATAACGGATCCTGCAATAAACATTGATAAATGGCAATAAGAATATTTATGTGCCACGTGACCAAGTCCACTTTAACGTCAATGTGTTTCATATAATGTTTACGATTATCGTACTATTTAACTTAACATAAATGCTAGGCAACCACTTTAAATGGTGTATTATGGCATGATTATGAATGAAAATAATAATAAATCAATTTTGAAAACAATAATAAATACTTTTAGCTAATCTACAACAATTTGTTGTTTTTTTGGAGAGTATATTACTTGGGCATGTTTGAATGTATGGCACATGTCGTATAACTAATACAACAGTTACCCTATTCGCAATATATCAGAGACTGGAACTTTCTGCTAACAGCCGGAAATTACCAAATAGTTTTCAACATTGAAGGTGTCATCAAGTCACCGAAGCGCACATGAGATTTTAGGATCGACAGGTTTAGGATAACCATATCAAAGAAATCACACATTTTAGGCATTCTTTCAGAATGTATAGGATGACTATTTAACTCATGCTGTTCTGATGTCTGAGTAAACTTCGACACGGCAATGTTCCCAAAACGCCGATAAATATAGTGTAATCACTCTAGAGTGAAATGTTAACTTCGGAGATAATACTCACTCTCAACAGATCGGATATAACCTGTGCGTCTGTGTCTTTGATTTGAGTGCCTGAGGAAACAACGCCACACGATCTATCATAAATATTACAGCTGGCATAATTTACAAGCGGGAGGGTGGTCACCTGCGCACGCGCGAGAATTGGTTAGTGCTTCGTCAAGTGCTAGAAACTTAGGTGTCTTGTTTGATTCGCAGCTATCTATGGAAACACACATTTCTACTATTTGTAGATCTGGATATTCCCATCTAAGAAATATTAATCGTATTCGTAAATCATTATCCCAATCTGATACTGAAAAGTTGGCACATGCTTTCATATCTTCTCGCTTAGACAGCTGTAATTCATTATTGTCTGGTCTCCCTGTAACTAAGATAAAACCTCTTATTCGTGTACAAAATGCAGCAGCCCGCCTTGTCACTCGTGCTCGAAAATATGATCACATTACAGACATTTTTATTAAACTTCATTGGTTACCAGTTGTACAAAGAATCAATTTCAAATTACTTTTACTAGTGTATAAATCTTTGTATGGTTTTGCCCCAAATTATCTATGTGAATTAATCGAATTTTATGTACCGAGTCGTAGTTTAAGATCTGAATCGAAGTTTCTTATTAAAACTCGTCAGATGTGTAGTAAAAAGTCCAAGGTGTTATACAAAGACCGTGCTTTTGAAAATTTAGGTCCTAAACTTTTTAATGAATTA